GACACCCCCCACCTCCCTCTTTTCTAACATTTAAACTCATATAAAAATAAAACATTCTCATCACCAAAAATCAGGACATTTCCTGGAACTGAGACGATCTCTGCTGCATCACCCAGGTACAGGACAGACCGGGGTCAAACTCCGAGTCCAGAGAAAGTCCTTCCAGAGTTCCAGGACTAAATCAGAGAGTCACTAGTTGAGTTCCAGCCCCCGGTCCAGTCAGTAGGGGGCAGCAGTTTCAGCTCAGGCTGCTGAAACATTTACAGCATTAAGAGGATCAGAGACCAGGACTCAGACCAGGTCCATGTGTCTCTGTTGGACGGACCCTGGTTCCTGGTACTGTTTCAGAAAGTATTTGTTCCCCTGACACTTCCTGGAGAACTTTCTGGAACCTGGATCTGAGGTCCAGTCCAAGGTTCTGCTGCTGTGTTGATGAGGTCAGGGTCTCCAGGTCAGGGGCTCCAGGTCAGGGTCTCCAGGTCAGGGGCTCCAGGTCAGGGTCTCCAGGTCAGGGGCTCCAGGTCAGGGTCTCCAGGTCAGGGGCTCCAGGTCAGGGTCTCCAGGTCAGGGGCTCCAGGTCAGGGTCTCCAGGTCAGGGGCTCCAGGTCAGGGTCTCCAGGTCAGGGGCTCCAGGTCAGGGTCTCCAGGTCAGGGGCTCCAGGTCAGGGTCTCCAGGTCAGGGGCTCCAGGTCAGGGTCTCCAGGTCAGGGGCTCCAGGTCAGGGTCTCCAGGTCAGGGGCTCCAGGTCAGGGTCTCCAGGTCAGGGGCTCCAGGTCAGGGTCTCCAGGTCAGGGGCTCCAGGTCAGGGTCTCCAGGTCAGGGGCTCCAGGTCAGGGTCTCCAGGTCAGGGGCTCCAGGTCAGGGTCTCCAGGTCAGGGGCTCCAGGTCAGGGTCTCCAGGTCAGGGGCTCCAGGTCAGGGTCTCCAGGTCAGGGGCTCCAGGTCAGGGTCTCCAGGTCAGGGGCTCCAGGTCAGGGTCTCCAGGTCAGGGGCTCCAGGTCAGGGTCTCCAGGTCAGGGGCTCCAGGTCAGGGTCTCCAGGTCAGGGGCTCCAGGTCAGGGTCTCCAGGTCAGGGGCTCCAGGTCAGGGTCTCCAGGTCAGGGGCTCCAGGTCAGGGTCTCCAGGTCAGGGGCTCCAGGTCAGGGTCTCCAGGTCAGGGGCTCCAGGTCAGGGTCTCCAGGTCAGGGGCTCCAGGTCAGGGTCTCCAGGTCAGGGGCTCCAGGTCAGGGTCTCCAGGTCAGGGGCTCCAGGTCAGGGTCTCCAGGTCAGGGGCTCCAGGTCAGGGTCTCCAGGTCAGGGGCTCCAGGTCAGGGTCTCCAGGTCAGGGGCTCCAGGTCAGGGTCTCCAGGTCAGGGGCTCCAGGTCAGGGTCTCCAGGTCAGGTCCCTCCGTGCTCTCATCCTGTCCGTCCTTCCACGATGATCATCAGGACCGGGGTCAGGTCCATCAGGTTCCTCAGCATGTCCATGATGTCCTTGTGGTCTTTGGCTCCCTCGATGAACTCCTCCAGGGTCATCTCACCTGCGCCACCCAGAGGTAGGTGTCAGGAAGAAAAGAATTTCTTTAAACCATGTTGTTTTACTTTATATTTTCTGGTGTTTAAACTGGTGGTTCTCGTGTTCTTCTACCTTCTCCTTTGATGTCGATCCTCTCGAAGATGAGCGAGACGATCTCCTCTGGGTCGATGTCTCTGTTCCGTGTGATGTCCTGGATGGCCTACAGGGGGAGACACAAGTGAGGACCAACATTAGGAACTATATGGATCTGAAGTGAAACATACGTTGGAGCAGACGAGGACTAAATCCTGTGGACGACTGGACACGTGAGTCTGGCTTTTGTTGGTCTTTAGTCCTGGCTCTGAACACCTGGACCTCTGAGCTCCAGGTCCAGACAGAGACGACAGACTCAGGGTAGAACTAAGAGATACGCTTTGGTTCAGCTGCTGTAGGCCTAGACTGCTGGGGGAAACTAATAAGTATGGGCTGAATGACTGGACTGTGCTGTTCTGGTCCGTGTGGGCTCCAGGCCCCTGGAGGAAGCTGTGGTTGGTTCCAGTCCCTGATCCTCTTTAGGAGATTAGATCAGGTCTAATTGCAGAGATAATCCAGTCCAGTTTTGGGTCTTTGCTGAGTCAGCGTCAGTTCTCATAGTGAAGGTCAGCTTCAGGAAGCAGGTCTTAAACTGCCACAGCAGAAAACTGCTGTTTATAGGACCAGGTCCCAGCCCTGGACCCCGAGGTCCCAGCCCTGGACCCCGAGGTCTCGGCTAGAAAAAAACGATTACTGTCTGCAAAGAAAAATGTTTTTAAAGCAGAACTAAAGAATAAAAAAGTTCCCAGACTTTTATATCCTGGCTCAGAGTGTGTTGTCGTCGTCATCGTTGTCGTTGTCGTCGTTACCGTGAATATGGTCTCCAGCTCGTCCTTGTCGATCTTCCCGTTGCCGTCCTGGTCGAACAGTTTGAAGTACCACTTGAGTTTCTGGTTGATTTCTCCTTTCAGCAGCAGACTGATGGCAGCGATGTACTCCACAAAGTCGATGTAGCCGTCCTGCAGACAGGAAGGAGAAGGCACAGGGCACAGGGCACAGGTCAGAGGTCAGAGGTCAGGTCGGTCGGTCTCACTGCTCCTGTTCTTTCTCTGAAACTTTGGTACCAGGAACTCTGGTGAGTTCATCTGGAGAACGGTTCTGTCAGTGGCCTCAACAACGACAGGTGAAAAAATGTTCTGCAGTACTGACCCTGAGTACTGACCCTGAGTACTGACCCTGAGTACTGACCCTGCGTACTGACCCTGAGTACTGAGGTTTTTAACACCTGGTACCAGTGAATGGATCTGGTTTCATGTTTCCACTGAGACAAACTAAAACCTGACTCTGAGCTCAGTTCTTTCAGAACAAAGTCAACAAAATTGTATCACTGAAGTACATGATGAACACACACACACACACACACACACACACACAGAGAGAGAGAGAGAGCAGGAACATTAGCTCTACTTGCTAAAACTTTAAGTCAATTAGCCAAGTTAGCCAAGTTAGCAGCTCTTTAAAATAAATACAGAAGCTAAAATCACTGATTTTCTCCATGGACTTTGGTCTGGACTAAAATCACTGATTTTAAAGCAGGTTCTGCAGCTGAATCAGACAAGGCCCAGTGTAGGTGTTGGAACGCACCCCGTCCATGTCGAAGGTACAGAACACCTGGTCCACGTAGCTGTTGGCGTCCTCGTTCATCCCCTTCAGGCCCAGGATGGTCTTCAGCTCGAAGAGCGTGATCAGACCTGACGGAGAATCTCTCATGAACTTGTTGTACCAGTGGTGCATGTCCTGGGACAGGATGTCGTCCAGGTTGGAGCCGTGGTTCCCCATGTTTGGTGCAGACCAACGGCTGCCGGCCAACACCGCCCGCAGCTTCAGGTGTTTGTCAGCAGGAGGAGCAGTGAAGCAGAGATCACACCTCAGAACCCTAACCCTCTTAGACCTGCAGGAGTCAAGGAGGCACCGTAAATAGACCAGCTAATGAGGAATGGGAAGACGGGCCCCGGGGGGGGGGGGGGGACTGTGGTGTCCCAGGTTACATCACCTAGTCAGCTGGTAGACCTGGGTCAGACTGACAGGGTCAGACTGACAGGGTCAGACTGACAGGGTCAGACTGACAGGGTCGTCTACAGCAGCCAGATGTGGTCGTGTTGATGACGTCAGTTAAACCTCAGCTGCAGTTCTTTACACGATGAGTCATAAATAATTCCTCTGATACTGAAGTAAAACCTGACAGAAATCAAAACATTAAAATAGTAATAATAATAATAATAATGTTAAAATCATCTTCAAACACAGTCTGCTGTATTTGTGGCAGCAGCGGTCTCTCTCTCTCTCTGACCGTACGATATAATAAGGTTTTTCTTCGGTGGTGTTTAATAAAGTGTTGTGTTAGAACTCTGTTACACTTTTTAATCCAGTTGCTGTTGTTGTTGCTGTTGTTGCTGTTGTTGTTGCTGTTGCTGTTGCTGTTGTTGTTGCTGTTGCTGTTGCTGTTGCTGTTGCTGTTGTTGTTGTTGTTTAGATTCAACACCTGACATGGTCGTGATGTCGATTTGAATAAATTGGATAAAGATGTTAAAAACAACAGAGTCATAAAGTACTACGTTCCAGTGACTGTCAGTGTGAGTGCAGTACCAGCAGTGGCCACAGGAGTCAGGCTCTGACTTCATCACATGTTTATGTTTATTTTACTCCAAACAAAAGTGTTAGAAAGAGGACGATACAAAAGATATAAACAACCAGGACTAGGTTAAAGTTTAAATAGAAAATGATACAAAAGTATTTTTCTAACAAACACAGAGGTCACAGAGGTCGCAAAGAAAAACCAGACCGTCTGTCCACCGGGCAGCGCTGTGGCTCCGAGTCCAGACGGTGGCTCAGGTCCAGGTCTCAGCCTGAGGTGTGAGGATTCAAACCTTTCACTACAATGAGGTTTCAGTCAAAGTCCAGAGTCAGGAGTCGGAGTCTGGACTTCAGAGTCGAGGCCTGGAGACCGGACACGTTTGTGGTCACCGGTTGTGGAACGGGAAGGCGGGGCTAAAGAGGCGTGGTGGTGTTTGCCCACGGCGGGAAGGAGTCCAGAGAAAACATGAGTCGACCCCAGCTGTTTATGGCCAGGCTGATGCAGCCGATGCCAATGATGTTCATGACCACTCCCGTTCTGGCCTGTAGGGGGAGTAGAGGGCGCTCAGTATCAGTGTAAAAGATCGCAGCGTTTATCTGTGGGTGTGGTCCTCACCATGTCGGACACCTTCAGGAGACCGTAGGAAAAGATGATGGCGTTAGGGGGCGTGGCCACAGGCAGCATGAAGGCGAAGGAGGCGCTGAGGGTGCAGGGAATCATGACGTACAGAGGGTTGAGGCTCATGGACTGAGACTGAGGAGGAGCAACATCACCATCATCATCATCATGTTCTTCATCATCATCATCACCATCATCATCATCCATCATCATCAGCATCACCATCATCATGTTCTTCATCATCATCATCATCATAACCATCATTATCATCATCATCATCTTCATCATCATCATCATCACCATCATCATCATCCATCATCATCAGCATCACCATCATCATGTTCTTCATCATCATCATCATCATCCCCACCATCATCACCATCATCATCATCACCATCATCATCATCCATCATCATCACCATCATTATGTTCTTCATCATCATCATCACCATCATCATCATCCATCATCATCACCATCATTATGTTCTTCATCATCATCATCACCATCATCATCATCCATCATCATCAGCATCACCATCATCATGTTCTTCATCATCATCATCACCACCATCATCACCATCATCATCATCATGTTCTTCCTCATCATCATCATCATCACCACCATCATCACCATTATCATCATCATGTTCTTCATCATCATCATCATCACCACCATCATCACCATCATCATCATCATCATCATCACCATCACCATCATCATCATCATCATCATCATGTTCTTCATCATCATCATCATCATCATCACCACCACCATCATCACCATCATCATCATCACCATCATCATCATGCACTCGGAGCGCCCTCTGCTGGACACATTATTATTATCATCATTATATTACCATGGAGGCCAGGATGGGGAGGAAGTCGCCGTGGCAACGTTGCTGGCACATTCAGTGAAGGTGGCCACCAGGAGGCAGACCACCACAGCTATGGCCCAGGGAGGTATGGACTGGAGCGGAGTCATCTGAGCCCCGAGCCAACGAGACAGACCAGACTCCTGAGAGCACACACACACACACACACACACACACACACACACACACACAGAGAGTGACTCCAGCCCAGTGGTTCTTTCATCCTCTCTCGCCCTCTCTCTCTCTCCACTCACCTCACTTCCTTTGGCCAGGGCGAACCCCCCCCCCAGCAGCAGCACGATGTTCCAGGGCATCTTCTTCTGCGTCACCTGCCAGGTGAGCAGAGAAGGGGCGGGGCCTCGTGACCCCTGGGACTCTGGTGACAAACAAACAAAGTTAGCCTCTGACAACACCTGCTCTGAGTGTGTGTGTGTGTGTGTGTGTGTGTGTGTGTGTGTGACACACACCTGTGTCAGAGCTCCTCCTCCAGCAGCACAGGTACTGCGGGGGCTCAGAGGGAAGAACAAATAACAAGACAGAGATAAAGAGGGCGACGGTCGCATCAGTGACGAACCTGAGAGAGAGGGGGGGGGAGGGGGGAGATGTTTCTATTGAGAAATAAAACACAGCTCTGACCTCTGACCTCTGGTCCTTGTTTGTACAGGACACTGTGGGTCTGGAACCCCGTGTTGGACAACGACCAGCGTGTTAATGAGTGACAGCTGCGCTCTCCTTATCAGACCCGACTTCCTGTCTGTGTCCAGGTTTGTCCCCGAGTCACTGTGACCTCTGACCCCTGGTCACGTGGTCGACGGCGAGTGTGTTTGTTTTGACTGACGTGTTTCCACACACGCCGTGTTTGTTCGGGATTTTCAGGACATTCATTGAGAAAAGACTGAGGTCAAAGGTCAGAGCTCACAACTGATCTGAACGCTGTGTTCACAGATAAGTCGGCCAGAAAAGTCCATGACCTGAAAATGTCTTCACCAAGTCTGGACGTCAGAATGTCCCGGTGAAGACAGACCCTAACCCCAGCCCTACATACGCCAGCCTGCAGGGGGCAGTAATACGTCGGTTTGACCAGGAGCCAGAGGACGATGAACAGAACGTATCTCAAGAAGGTTACATCACAGATGACGACCCGTCACCTGATAAGGCGTCCAGGTGAGGCGAGGTCACTGATTGGTCCAGGGCCGCTCTTGTTGACACGACTCGTTTGCACCAGGACACGTTTCCTGTGTTTGTGCTTCACCTCTGGTTCCTGTTTGTCCTCAGGCACTGACCTGCTGCTCCACTTTTTCCACTGTACATTAATGCACGTGCACGGACTCACGTGCACGGACTCACGTGCACGGACTCACGTGCACAGGTGTGCTGCCGTTCAGACTCACACCGTCAGCTCAGGTTTTTTCTGATTCTAGAAGATTCTACTCACTCAGCGTTGGAGTTAAACACGTGCGTCGCCCAGCCGTCCATGAAGCGAGGGTCCCGTGTGAACCACAGCGCCACCATCAGGATGAAGAGGGACAGGACGCTCACCTCCCCGTAGCTCATCCGTCCCAGTTGAAGGTGTTCTTGTCGGATGAGCTCGTACGCGGCCCGTTCTTTTTCCGACCGGACCGTCCCACATCCCCAGGTCTTCCTCAGGCTGAGGCCGTCCGGAGCGGAGCAGAGCGGAGCAGAATTACGTTGGGAGTCAAAGAGCTTCGGTGAAGCAGAGTTGATCTGAGAGAGAACTCACTTGCAGCCGACGTAGAGAACCTGCAGCCAGAACCAGGCCAGCGTCAGCATCAGCACCATGGTCGGGAACGCAAACGCAAACCAGGAAGCAAAGTTGATGACGTCACCGTTCTGAGGGAAGAGCCTGTGAAACCAGAGGTAGAAGTTCAGACACTGGTCCACACACTGCACCTGGTCCACACACGTAACCTGGTCCCCACACTGAACCTGGTCCACACACGTAACCTGGTCCCCACACTGAACCTGGTCCACACACGTAACCTGGTCCCCACACTGAACCTGGTCACCACACTGAACCTGGTCACCACACTGAACCTGGTCACCACACTGAACCTGGTCCACACACGTAACCTGGTCCCCACACTGAACCTGGTCCACACACGTAACCTGGTCCCCACACTGAACCTGGTCACCACACTGAACCTGGTCACCACACTGAACCTGGTCCACACACGTAACCTGGTCCCCACACTGAACCTGGTCACCACACTGAACCTGGTCCACACACGTAACCTGGTCCCCACACTGAACCTGGTCCACACACGTAACCTGGTCCCCACACTGAACCTGGTCACCACACTGAACCTGGTCACCACACTGAACCTGGTCCACACACGTAACCTGGTCCCCACACTGAACCTGGTCACCACACTGAACCTGGTCCACACACGTAACCTGGTCCCCACACTGAACCTGGTCCACACACGTAACCTGGTCCCCACACTGAACCTGGTCACCACACTGAACCTGGTCCACACACGTAACCTGGTCCCCACACTGAACCTGGTCACCACACTGAACCTGGTCACCACACTGAACCTGGTCACCACACTGAACCTGGTCCACACACGTAACCTGGTCCCCACACTGAACCTGGTCACCACACTGAACCTGGTCCAGGGTCCAGGGTCCGTTTGACTTCATCTGTTTATTTATGGTTGATCTTTTATTGTAAATATTTGTATTTTTAACCTTGTTATCTGTGCTGTCGTCTAAATATTTTTTGGGACGAGGATGATGGAACAGATCAGAACTCACTGGCCCATCTGTCCAATCAGCACCAGGTTGGGTCCAGTTCCGGTCAGCGTGGCGATGCCTCCGATGCTGGCGGCGTAGCACACACACAGGAGGAGGCCTTTGCTCATGTTCCTCTTCTCCTCCTCCACGTCACTCAGCTCCTCCAGCTCCATCTGATGGCAGCCCACGGACACCACGGCTGCAACGCAACCACGGGAACCGGGTCAACCCCACGGCCCAGAACAGTCAGAACTGGATCAGGTCTCAGTGACCGTGGACTCACCAGACGGGGTCCTGCTCTGGTCTGACGGAGGTTTGTCCTGAGGTGTGGGTGTCTCCGGGACCGGGTTCTCCTGTGGGTTCTCCTGTGGGTTCTCCTGTGGGTTCTCCTGTGGGTTCTCCTGTGGGTTCTCCTGCGTCGGCGTCGACCCGTTCACACCTGACGGTCGGATAATCAGTTAATGTAACCGTCACCAATCACAGACGCCGGCGTCCGGCGTGTGGTCCGTACCTGGGTCCAGACTCTGTGGGACACATTTCCCCTGATCTTCATGGTGGAGGACAACCGTTGGTCCCTGCGTCCTGGAGGACGGCTCTGGGTCCACGTTACCCTGGAGCTGGTCCAGAACGGCCTGGACGATGGGGACCATCATGGCCGTGGTGGCGGTGTTGCTGATCCACATGGACAGGAAGGCCGTCACGCCCATGAAGCCCAGCATCAACCTGGAGACATGAGGAGACAGACGCTGAAGACCAGAGACACGGGGGGGGGGCGCCAGCGTCCTCTTCAGGTCACCGGAGGTACGTAGACTCACAGAGCCGGTCGGACCCCGAACAGCAGCAGGACCCTGAGGGCGATGCGTTTGTGGAGGTTCCAGTGTTCCACGGCCAGCGCCACCATCAGTCCACCCACGAACAGCATGTTGGTGTCCTTCAGGTACTGCATACACACCTGCAGCCGCACACACACACCAGCAGGGGTCACCTCAGCTCTGCTGCGGAACCAGAGCAGGCGGTGCTCCAGTTCAACACAAGGAAAGAGAATGAAGGGGAAAGGCAGCCAGCAGGGGGCAGCGCACAAGCACAAGTCTAGGGTCTTCACATGAGCTGTGTGTGTGTGTGTGTGTGTGTGTGTGTGTGTGTGTGTGTGTGTGTGTGTGTTTAATCTCACGTCTTTAGACTCCATGATGCCCAGGACAGGAAACAGAATGGTCGGTAACAGAGCTGTCACCGCCAACGGCAGGACCTCGGTGCACCAGTACACCGCCATCAGGGCGATGACGTAAGCACAGGCGGCCGCCTGTGGGACCACACACACACACACACACACACACACAGACACACACAGTTGTTTATTTGTCAAAACAAAGAGAAACAGTGACTAAGATGACCTTTGACCTCTCTGTCCACACTGGTCTGATTCATCTGTCATCAGTCTGGACAAACCTGTCTGTCATCAGTCTGAGCGGCTGAGGGACGTCCTGTCCTCCGCCACGAGGACAGGACGTGGACAGGCGTGGACCGCCCTCTGGTGGACTGTATGTGTGACCGTGTACTTCTACTACTGCAGTACAAGTATACAGTACAGTACTCTTACTGTGGTACAATCTACAAATACTTCAAAATAAAAACATTCTTTAAAAACATGATGTAAAAGCCCGGACGAGGCTAACTGTTAGCATGCTCTTTCTCACACATTAGCTTAACAGTCATAGCAACGTCATGGATTAGCGTTAGCGTTTAAGCTAACCTTAAACCTAGATCCGTCGATGAAAAGTCTCTTAAGATCTCCCTGGAACTGGAGTGTGAGAAGATGCTCTGACCCAGAGCTGAAAGGTCAAAGGTCAACGTCCAACTGTTCAACACAGAACGGTTTCTTATTTCAGATGAGGGGTGTGTAGTCAAATAAAGGGGGGGGGGGGGCCGGGGGGGGGGGTACAGAACCTCTGATGTTCGCCACCTGCTGGACGGGTGAGTCCACATCACGATGACTGTCAGATATAAACAGGAAGTGACAATTTGACTTAGTCTTGTCCCATACACAGTCATGTGTCAAAAAGCTGAACTTTTTCCAGGTCCAACTTCTCTCTGAGATCGTTCTGGAGTGAGAAAAGTGAGAAGATGGAAACAGTTCTTGCTGAGAAGCTGCTGAAGCCACGGTGGAGCCGACTGTGTCCAAACACAGAGGCTGTTTTCATTCACGTAAGAACACACACACACACACACACACGCTGTGAGGACCATTCTTTGAAGAAGAAATGTGAGGCATTCTGGGAAAAGGTTACTGGACCCTGCACTAACCTTGACGACCATCAGTGTGTGTCACTGAAACATTAAATATATAAACAACGTCAACCTGAGTGTGAAAGTAAAACCACAAGAACTAAAGAACTAAAAGAACTAAAATCTCTGATTTTCTCCATGGACTTTGGTCTGAACTAAAATCTCTGATTTTCTCTATGGACTTTGGTCTGAACTAAAATCTCTGATTTTTTCCATGGACTTTGGTCTGAACTAAAATCTCTGATTTTTTCCATGGACTTTGGTCTGAACTAAAATCTCTGATTTTCTCTATGGACTTTGGTCTGAACTAAAATCTCTGATTTTTTCCATGGACTTTGGGCTGAACTAAAATCTCTGATTTTCTCTATGGACTTTGGTCTGAACTAAAATCTCTGATTTTTTCCATGGACTTTGGGCTGAACTAAAATCTCTGATTTTCTCTATGGACTTTGGTCTGAACTAAAATCACTGATTTTCTCCATGGACTTTAAATCTGGTAAATCTAATTCACTGAGGTTCTCCTGATCCAGGGGGCGCTCTCCGTCCTCTCAGCTCTGACTAACAGGGTAAATGTTTGCCACATGATCAATGGATAACTGACAGAACAACAACAGTGACTGACATGGACAGTCAGAGAACTGTGTGCGAAACGTTGTCAATGAGCGCCACCCACACACACACACACACACACACACGCTGTGAGGACCATTCTTTGAAGAAGAAATGTGAGGCATTCTGGGAAAAGGTTACTGGACCCTGCACTAACCTTGACGGCCATCAGTGTGTGTCACTGAAACATTAAATATATAAACAACGTCAACCTGAGTGTGAAAGTAAAACCACAAGAACTAAAGAACTAAAAGAACTAAAATAACTAAAATCACTGATTTTCTCCATGGACTTTGGTCTGAACTAAAATCTCTGATTTTCTCTATGGACTTTGGTCTGAACTAAAATCTCTGATTTTTTCCATGGACTTTGGTCTGAACTAAAATCTCTGATTTTCTCTATGGACTTTGGTCTGAACTAAAATCTCTGATTTTTTCCATGGACTTTGGTCTGAACTAAAATCTCTGATTTTTTCCATGGACTTTGGTCTGAACTAAAATCTCTGATTTTCTCCATGGACTTTAAATCTGTTAAATCTAATTCACTGAGGTTCTCCTGATCCAGGGGGCGCTCTCCGTCCTCTCAGCTCTGACTAACAGGGTAAATGTTTGCCACATGATCAATGGATAACTGACAGAACAACAACAGTGACTGACATGGACAGTCAGAGAACTGTCTGCCAACATTGGTCAATGAGCCACACACACACACACACACACACACACAGTGTCCAATAACTTGACTAAACACCTGCAGTAGAACCTGTTGACTCTGGTCGTGGTCTGGTTGTGACTTTTCTCTGGTCTATAAACCTGTCAGTGTGGAATAATCTGCTGTGGTTCAACACTGGTTCAGTCGTTGATTTCAGTTCATTCTCACCATGTGTGTCAAACAGGTCATGACCTCACAGCTGAACCGGACCCTGGTGTGTGTGTGTGTGTGTGTGTGTGTGTGTGTGTGTGTCCCACCTTGGTGCTCAGGGCCAGTGGCAGCAGGATGAAGGGACTGCAGACCAGGATGAAGATGTCCTTCATCCTCCAGACCTGCCGCAGCATTTTCACCCTCAGAGGAAGAACCGCCATGACTGTAGGGGGGTGGGGGGGGGGGGGGGGTGAAGACGATGAAGACGATGAAGACGTCCGTCTGGTCTTCTGTCAGAGTCACACTGAGAACTCTGTCTGCTCCACTTCTCTCTCCCACAGGTTTGTTAAATGCCTCACACACACACACACACACACACACACACACACATACACACACAATAATGTGGAAAACCAGTGAATCCAGGCCGTTCAGTCCAGGACTGGGTGGAGCCAGACTCCCAGGTCGGGGGAGGGGCCACAGGCAGAAGTTCTCTGCAGGTATTTAGCAGAAACTCCAAAGTAGATTTAAGGACTGAACAAATGAACATCAGAAACATCTAGAACTGAAATGAAAAAAATAAATATATCCAAGTAAAAGGCGTTTGTCAGTTAAAAACAGCAAATGTTTGACGAAAAGACGGAGCAAAAACAATGAAGAAGGAAAAGGTAGAAATGAACCACAGGACGACGGCAGTTCAATGGGAAATGTTTAATATTTTAACAAATGAAACGATGGCTGAGAACAACGTGGAGATCACGTCGATGTGACAGATCAGTGACGTAGTAAACGATCTCGTGACAATAAAACAGATTAGAAACTCCGCTCTGCTGCTTCTCCTCTTCCTGGTCTCTGACGGCCACCGTACTTTACTGAACCACTTGGTTTCAAAACCTGAGTTCCTTCAGTCGCTCCTCTCACCGTCATCAGACATCGAACACGATGACGTCAGCACCAACGTCACCCACAGTGAGTTCACCCACAAACACCTGAGAAAAGTGTAGAAAACGTCGCCGCGTTCACGGCGGCTCTGCTGTTTGTTTAACTGTGGTGTGAGGCTCTGGAGGAACTGCACACACCTCTGCTGCCCTCTGCTGCCCTCTGCTGGGGGAAGGCGAATGGAAGTCCTGTACAGGAGTGTAAAAATGTTTTTATTACTGAGAAATAATCAGTGAAATTTAAACATGTTGTTGATTCTTCTACTCTAACAGGTTGAACACAGCTCGTCTTCACTGTCACTGACGCAGTACTGATGATGACGTCACACAAACGTCAGACCCTCCTGGAGCTACAGGCAGTACCCCTGTTGTCCTCCAGGGCAGCGCAGGCTGAAACCTGAGAATGAATTGATTCAGTACAAAAAAAATGTGAATTTCTGAGAAATAATCTGAAGTTTGTTTGAAGTTTCTGTCGCTGCAGCGTTTTATCTTCAGTGGTCCAGTCTGACGGCAGCCCCCCCCCTGACCCCCTGACCCCCTAAGTTTGTGTTTGTTAACCAATCACATTCATTCTTCAAAGGTCAAAAGGTCAGAGATCTGAGCCCACAACTGGACGTGTTAGGGTCAGGCCTGAAGCCCCAGGTCAATGGAACAGAATCAGTTCTAGAATCTGTCACATTCCATACGTTCAACACTTCCTGTTTTTTCTGACAGAATTAAAATGAAAAAAAGGTTCAAATCACAAATCAAAAAAATAAACTCTGCATTTTCTAACTTTATTATAAACTTCCTGTGGAAACAGTGACGAGACGAACCGAACACCAGACCCAGAAGAATTTGTGTAATGTCTCGAGTCTCCGCTGGAGGGCGACAAAGACCATAGTTAAGAACATGGATTTTATCGACTTCAAGATGATGATTTTTTTTGGGGGACTAGTGCGCGTTCCCACGGGCACACGCGCATCCCCGCGGGCGGAGCAAAGTCTGAGAGAGAGCGAGAGAGAGAGAGAGAGAGAGAGAGAGAGAGCAGCGACGTGGACAGAGGGTGAGATTTTCACATTTCTAAAAACAGTTTTGTTCTTTTTAAAGTCACAGTTTTTGATGTTTGGCAGTTTTTTAAACAGCTGTAACTGAACTCGTGTCATTGTCTCCACTAACCTTTAAATACATGTCGTTTGGTGATTTTACTGTCGGACACGTCTGAGTCACTAACAAGGGGGGGGAGGGGGGACTGGACTCTGACCCACTCAGAACTGTTTGGACTCTGAGGATCAGAGTGGACGTTGGTCTAAATGTGAAACTCTTACCTCCAGCTCTGAGCCAGAACCGATCTGTTAGTTCTGTTCTCAGCAGAGGCTTTGGTTCTGGTTTAGACTCAGTGATATACAGCATCGGTACCAGAGAACCCAGAGAACCAGAACATTCCTGTCTGGGTCTGGCACAGGTTTCTGCTCACGGGTTCTGTAGAAAACGCCACCACAGCACTGTACGTGATTCTGCAGGATTCTGGTCTTGGCAGGACTGAACGGAACTCTGAAGAACCGACCAAGTTCTCCTCCCACGTGTCTGGAGAGAAACATGAGGCGTACAAGTCTGCTGCTGGTGTTTGGATTCATCCTGACCTTCACCCAGGCTCAGGTACCTGGTCCTGGTCCTGCTTCTGGTTCTGGTTCTGATCATCAACCAAACCTGCTGTCTCACAGTGTGTGGTTCTTCCTGTCTCAGGTGGACACCGGGGCGGAGGAGGAGACGGGGGGTGAGGACGACCACGTGGAGCTCTTCACCACGCCCACCACCAAGATGGGCGCCGCCACCTCCGACTTCGGCTACAACCTGTTCCGCGCCCTGGCGAGTCGTGAGGCTGCGACCAACGTCTTCCTCGCGCCCCTCAGTGTGTCTGCGGCTCTGACTCAGTTGTCCATGGGTGAAGACACCACACACACCAACGACAGGGGGGGACGGGGGGGACAAGGGGGGCAGAAAACAGATTCATAGTTTGGTAACGTTGACGTCGGTTCTTCTTCTTCTTCTTCTTCTTCTTCTCCTTCTTCTTCTCCTTCTTCTTCTCCTTCTTCTTCTTCTTCTTCTTCCTCTTCTTCTTCTCCTTCTTCTTCCTCTTCTTCTTCTTCTCCTTCTTCTCCTTCTTCTTCTTCTTCTTTTCTTCTTCTTCTTCTCCTTCTCCTTCTTCTTCTTCTTCTTCTTCTTTTCTTCGTCTTCTTCTCCTTCTCCTTCTTCTTCTTCTTCTCCTTCTTCTTCCTCTTCTTCTTCTTCTCCTTCTTCTCCTTCTTCTTCTTCTCCTTCTTCTTCTTCTTCCTCTTCTTCTCCTTCTTCTTCCTCTTCTTCTTCTTCTCCTTCTTCTTCTTCTCCTTCTCCTTCTTCTTCTTCTTCTTCTTCCTCTTCTTCTTCTTTTCTTCTTCTTCTTCTTCTTCTTCTTCTAAATACCGTTGTTTCCATTTCCCTCTGAGTCGAGGCTGAAGGCTGAAAAGTTCAGACGGTTTGAACTATGACCTGGAACGAAGGTGTGGCTGACCCTGGCGCTGACCCTGGCGCTGACCCTGGCGCTGACCCCGCCCCTGACCACATGACGATGAGACGAGCGTTTGATTTGACGGTTGATTTTTGCAGGGTCTCTGATTTCAGCCCGGTGACGTCTGGTCTCCACAGGGGGGTCGGAGCAGGCCGAGCGACAGCTGCACCGGGCCCTGAGGTACCACACCCTGCAGGACCCTCAGCTCCACAGGACCCTGAAGGACCTGCTGGCCTCGGTGAAGACGGCGGGGAAAGGACTGAGCCTGGCCGCACGCCTGTGTCTGACCCGACGTGAGTTTTAGAACCGAAGCTGAGCTTCAGCAGGGTTTAATACGCTCCACAGAGGTCAGAGGTCACCTGGAGGTGTGGTCTGACCTCAGTGACCTCACGTTGAGCCTCCTCCTCACTGCTCTGTTGCAGGAATCCGTCTGAAGCAGGAGTTCTTTGACCTGGTGGAGCAGCAGTACGGCGTGCGTCCGAAGACGCTGCAGGGAGGAGCCAAGGACATGAAGGAGGTCAATGATTGGGTGTCTCAGGAGACCAGCAACAATGTTCAGCGCTTCCTGGCCAAGCCCCTCCCCCGCAACTCTTTCATCCACACAGTGAGCGCCGCCCACTTCACAGGAGGGGACCCAAGTTGGGGGCGCCCGGGGGG